TGGTCCATGTTGGCATAGGCGGCCAGTGCGGTTTTCTAGAGAATGATAGGGCTTGCACGTAATGAACTGAAGTACTGATCCGCCATTTCTGTGGATAATGGTTAACGATAAAGCTCTTGGCCTGCAGACATGCATATAAAGACAACTGATGACTATCTTCCGATGGAGAGAAACATGACCAAACAAATGCAAAGTATTTACAGCACAATGTTGATAACAGAGCCACCGTACCACTGTTGTTAGGCCTGTAGTTTTCTGATGATCCACGACAGACTACAGGTAGCTCAATTGTTTTTAGCAAAACTAATTAGGTATGCCGTTTTGAAGATAAATACTTATATACTCCCGAATGGCCCAAATGAGTCATACAATTACATGGTAGTGCCCATTCCTCACAAATATGTTTTGAACACAAACAGAGAACTGCTGCCAAGAGTATCAAAAATAGATTCACATAGAAAGGAAAGAAGAGTAGAGGATCAAATATGTTGATGATGTTTATCCTATTTCTAAGAGATGAAATGTTTCAGTAATAGGAACATTATTGTACATAACCACAAACGGACCCTGAACCATTCAACGTTAAGCAGCATTGTACAGAAACTATGTGTAGCAGTCACAAAGAGTTTTCAAGTCCTATGAGACTAATCCCCACTCAGCAGCTTTGCATCATACGAATAGAATCCTAGTTGCGACGGTATCTTCAGACCAAGTGTTGAACGTCATTCTTTGAGGTGCCAAAGCCTCCAGTTTGGTGCCTTGATTCTTGTCAAAGTTTAGCATGGAGTCTAAACTACAATACCATGCAAAAGTGTTACCCAACTGCAGAGCAGAAAATGATCCTACTGAAGGCGCTGATGACTGACGAAAAACCCGGCTTGCCTGACCCATCAGCTTAGCACTTGCAGCGCATGTCAGCAGACTAAGATGTTAGTACAACTGGTATATACAGAAAACCGAACCCTTGTAAGGGGCATGTGATGGTAGCAGAATGCATTGAATGAGACAAAATGTAACACATGAGTTTTTCGTAACAGCAACATCTCATAACACGCACAAAAACGTGCAAAATTAACAGATGAGCAAAATAATGGTGGTCTTTTCATAGCATGGCAAACATTGCGATTCGGTATTGAACATGCCATATAGAAATGGCATTGACAAAAAAAATTAACAGATCAAATGTTGAATGGCACCAAATTTATCTGGTTACTTGTACACAGATCAACAGATGCGCACTGACCATTGAGGCAACACGAGCATGCAGTAGAAACATATAAGAGCGTTGAATCACATTTCACAGAAGGTGAACAATTCTGTTGCTACTCTTTTGGAGAAGGTTCAGCAAAGACCTGACGTTACCACATTTGAAGCTTCTGCCTACAACCCCAAGGTTGTGTATAGTACCTCTATTGTTTCTGTTGTTGCCATTCGAGTTTACTCTAATCAACGACTTTGTTACCACTCTTATTAAAAAAAAGTAACAATTAGCAACATTTACCCTAATAGGAAGAAAACACAAATCAATGCATGACCATCAATTTTATTAAACTATTGAATATTCATTCTATTAAAAAACTCATAGGGAAATAGCAACATGAAATGCATACAAATGCTTAAATGATCCAACTTAATCGTATTAGCATGATCATGATAGTACATCGGTTCAATTTACACCAACTATTCACATTATGTAGTTAAACTACCTTGTGCAAGTACACTATTTAGATAGATCCATGAATGTTCAAACGGGCATTGCTATTCCAGATGTATTGGTAAGAAAGATTAAATATACCTATATAAATTTAGAAGGCAAATGACTGGCATGTGGCACCACACAAAGTTCAAGATATGGTCAACCCATGGCACAAGTTTTTTTTTTGAGAAATGAAAGCATTTTCTGCATTCAGCAACATCATCTACTATCTACTACGTATATTATTAGATAAGAATTATTAGCAAAATAACATTGATTAAATGGTCTTCTATGGAATTATGACGAATTGATGAAGTGGGGCTCAACCAGGTGAAACGAGATTTTGCTTTGGATCTGTAATTTACTTTTTAAAACAAAAGTCCGTTTTTTTTAGTTGAGCGAAATTCGGTTCCGACTTCACAATCCGTATGAGTTATCTCCTTTTAGATGACCGCTTGAGCAAGGGATAGTTTGGTAGAGATCATATGAGATCCCCACAAAATAACTCAATTCGTATGAATTTAAGGATCTCTAACATGATTTTGAACATCATGGGAAAATTTCATGCATCCTCTATGATATTTTTCTTATTTTCGTGCACTCATGGAGCTCCCCGCGTGTGACACATCACATATCTACCAGTTCGGCACATTCCTGCCAAGTGGGGTCAGACACTTCACTGGTTTCATCTTTCCTAGACATCCACACTCAACAAGCGGTCGTCCAGTTTTCTATAACCACATTATGCGGTATTAATTAATACCATTTTTACTCCAACTTTCATGATTGTGATAGAAATTAACCCATTTAGAAGATCTTTCACATCTTTACCTAATTTAAGTAAACTTGTGCCACAAATTAGAAATTACTCATTTGAATTGTTTCCCCGGTCTGACTGCTTGAGCCCATGCCTCCGTGCCGACTGGGATTGCTACATGGGTGGTTTATTTCCATGGTTCGGTTTTTGCGGACCACATTCTTCTCTCCGTCGCCACCAATGTCAGCAGCGCCACAGAGGGGCAGACAGTGCACGCCGAAGCAAAAGCCCCACGCTGTCCTCCTCGTGCTCACCAAAGTCACAGACGGTACTCCATGGAGCTGCCGCCGGAAAGTGAGCTTGAAGACAAGGTACCCCCGTGTAGTGAGCCAGGGGAGAGCTCCTTGCTGATGATGACACCCAGCAAACCGACATACCAGCTACGCTTGCCAAACAAATTAAAATGATTGTACCTAATACTCCCTCCGTCCCAAAATTCTTGAATTTTTGGGACGGAGGGAGCACATATTGTTCAATTGTTGCACAGCACTCTACTGTTGTGTACAGGAAAAATCGCCTTTCATGAAACTAATTAAATTGTTACTATGTTCCAGGAACAAATGTTGATTTGGGAATAAGAGTACACTACCTGCCTTGAAACATATCCTTCACCCAATGGCCTGCGCTGCATTTTAGAATTAGCTACAATGCATATGCCGTTTACTTACTCTGAAATGAAATCTTTTAAAGAAAACAATCCAGACTTGCATCATAGAATCTGAATTACAGAGTAACATATTCATTACAGAGTCTGGTCACTACAATAATAAGTTACCTTGCGTTACAAACATTTTCTTTTCAAAATCTCACTCCCGCAGCTTTGCATCATAGAGTTGTGTCTGGCGCTCGCTATCTTCGGATCAAGGTGCATATAGCAACGAGCCCACGACCATGTCGTCAGCAGCCACACGCCGACGAAAAGATACCACCTGAAGCAGCCTTCACGTCCACTCCAAAATCCATGACAACAACAACACTATGGGTCAATGTCCACAGACTGGCCAGCCTGCCCCTTCTGGCAACTAAATTTGAAATTACTGAACTTTCTGAAAGCAATGATGCTGAACAAGTGAAAAACTGAGATAATCAATTCTTTTTTCCCCTACTATGATGAAGAAAGAACACTGAATAGAAATTTATTATGAACATGAACACAAAACTGAAGAAAGAATACTGATTACTCGAGAAGAATAAAAAGGACAGAGGAATAAGGATAAACTTAAACATAAAACTTAGGGAGCCGAGAGACTTAAGAAAAAGAAACTAAGAGAGGGCCTGGTGTGTTCTGTTTAGTTCTGCCGTTAAAAATTACTACGAGTAAAAAATGATGCAACCATAGTCAGTGAACAAATACTTCAATGATAAACTGAACAATCATACAGAGATGAGATGTAGCTCCAATGAGAAGGACTAAGTGAACAAATACTTCAATGATAAACTGAACAATCATACAGAGATGAGATCTAGCTCCAACGAGAAGGACTACTGATGAGAAACAAGCCAGCATTCAGAAAATCAAACTAAACCAACATGTCCACCACCAATCACTCCTCCCAATCACCTTAACCACTCTCTCGTTGCCATGAACAAACTAATCACCATGTAATATCCACACTATATGTATGTACTAGTCAGTTATTTTGGAACATGATTTTGATTGAATATCTAGAAGCAACTACGCTCAAAATGGCAGCCTAAGTTAGCAGTGCAACAGCTCCCATTCGCCTAGCAAAATTCACGCAGACAATTGGGACTGAAGAACACTAATAGCATCCCCCTGTGCAAAAATCATTTCTGCCGAATGCCCCCATACACTTGTATACTAACGCCATTGATGAAAAACACCCAAAAGTTACGCAGAACACTAAAGACAAATGAAGCGCACAAAAACTCCACTCTAGCTCATGGGCGTAGGTGTTCCAGTGCAGGATTTCCACCGGAGCGAAAACATTGGAGGGTAATTAACGGCGCTGAGTACGGATGGACGTCGGAGGGAGGCCATGCTTGTCTCTCGCTAGCAAAAACGACGAAATGACATGGGGTGAAGAGTGGAGACCCGTAACCCGAAGAAACACAACTAAAACGCGCCCGCTTGCGTTGAGATTCGTGACAACGATCCAACGGTCACTAAATTCGACCTGAAGCCAAATGAAAATGATTTCGACAGATCTTTAGCAAATAAGTAGACTAAAATCGGAAACAATAAGGCTATTTCAAGATAACAGAAAATATCTCAAATCACACGCATAAATCAGCTAAGGATGATGTTACCAAGCGAAACATCCACTTGACAAATAATAATTCAGTTTCACAAGTAATGACCACTGACCACAACTATTTTTAGGATATAACGATGTTTGGGCTTCAGAATAACGATTATGACATAGAAAAGGCAGCGGTGAAACATAGGCATACAAAGTCTCATTAGAAAAAAGATGAATACTTAAGCATTAATTTGACGCAGCAGTGCCTCGATGCTACTCTTATCTACTCAAAAGCCCACTGGTTCTCCCTGCGGATCTCCACCTCCTCCTCGGGTGTGAAGTCATTCTTGATGTTAAAAGTCTTGCGGATCTCCTCCGGAGTCTTGCCCTTGATCATGTCGGCAACGGTCTGGCAAGTAAGGTCGAGCAATCCCTTGATGTTGAGATAGTTTGCAGCGAGGATGAGGTCGAAGAGGGTGGCCTGGTCGACCTTGACGAACTCGGCGTCAAAGCTCTTGAGGTCCTCGGCAGGGGCGGCGGCTGCGGTAGAGGTGGAGGAGCTGGAGTCGGCCTGGACGTGCTTCTTGCAGTATTCGATGACCTTGGAGAGGATCTTGGAGTCGACGTTGGGGAGCGGGATGCCGTTGTCGGCGCAGTCGTCCTCGATCATGTGGGGGATGGTCTGCGACTCCATGGCGACCGCCTCCTCAACCTGAAATTCCTCGCCGTCCGAGCTCTTGAGCGTGATCATCTTCTTCTCGCCTTCCTCGGCCACCATGGATGGATGGGAGGATTGGGAGGCGAAATGAAACGAAACCCTAGGAGCAGGAAGAGCGAGCGAGCGATCGAAAGACGGGAGCTTCTTTGCGTGCGTGCGTGCGTGTTGGGCTAGATAGATAGAGTGTTCCGGGGATTTATCTCTACTCCTAATGGACGAATTGGTTGAATAGTCCCCCCACTTTCGTCTGGGTTTTTTTCAACTGATTTTTTTCGTCTGGTTTTTTTTTCCATCAAATTACCCCCACCCCCACGCCCACACACCGAACCCCACCCACGCAGGTAGCCAAAGAAACTGCGCCCTGCCGCCCATCAGGATCCCCATGCCTCATACCCCGCTGCCGATCAGATCTGCGCAGCCGTCGTGCGATCTGCGCACTCCACAGCACCGCCGCCGCGGAACGACTTGACAGTGCCGCCGCCACGTTTCTGGATCGCTGGCAGTTTTTGGATCACGCGCCGCCACGGAACGTGCGATTGGCACGCTGTACGGTTTCAACCCCAGGTATGAACACACATGTTTTGTTTGTTTGTTATGTCTACGTGTACAGATCAGGGCGATCCTGATGGATTTGTGTTCAAACTAAATCAACCCATGCCAGACTTCTTTTTCCACCTCCACCGCCGGCCGCTGCCCGCGCTCGGACCTCACAAATCAAACCCCTCTATAACTAATACAAGAGCTTTTAGGTCACTACTTCCGTGACCTAAAAGGCCTCATATTAGTTTACAAAGGATGTACCTCAATCTAGATAACATGAAAAATACTTGGATAACATGAAAAATACTTTTAGTACTGAAATGTTGAATTGCACGACGTAGAAATAAACAATCTCCCATCCAGAACTCCTTGGGTATCATCTGAATTGGTTATTCTTCCTAAAAAAATATTAACAGTCACTGAAACATTACAACATAGTTGCATCAATCAATACCTTGCTGCCTGGATCACTTGTTTCTGTAAAAATTACACCACAACTTCATGTGCCCACGATATTTGAGGTTCAGAGCAGTCCTTGAGAGTAGTTTGCGAATCAATTACGGAGAAGGATTCCGGAGTGATTTTGACTGGATTTTGACTGGATTCCAGAGTGATTTGGAATTTGGGATTAATACATGTCCGCGACAGCGCATTAGTAATGAAACAATTCTCTGAAAGAATCAGCAAAGTAGAACTTGTGACGTTTCATTATGTCCCTCCAAATAACCTTGATGGATATCCTTGTCAGAATAGCAGAACCGCATATGAATCAATTAACACAGCAATGGGAAGATAAATAATCATTCTGAATAGCAAAGAATAGGTAAGTTCACATGAAAAAATAGGTCACCTTTCTAAATTCTAAACCTGTACAATAGCAAGCTGCGCTTGTGATCTTTGACGGCCTTCATCTGCCTGCAGTCAGATGAACAGGACATCTTAGCATCTTGAATTCTTAACTTGTATCCAGCAGTGTCAGTTTACAAAAAAATGGAAAGTAGCAAAGTCCGTTGGACATGTCTTTCTATTTTCATATATATAGCAAAACTCATAAATCTGTAACAATCTGCCCGTATGGACTGGATTTCTGTACAATGGAAACGGGCCTTTAGTACTGTTGGTATTTCACGTGATCTGCTTGCAGAGTCAGTTTACAAGTTTTTGCTATATACCTGAGTCTGTTGGACATGTCCCTTTTTTAGTAGTTACATATGGGGACTCCACACAGCAAGCCAGCGGAACAGACGACTTCATCACATGTACCTCCAGGTATATGTTCACCTATAAATTGTGCTACACAAGTCAAACATATATATGTTCAACTATATATGTGTTGCAGGCCCGATGGAGGGGACAAGTGTTGACGACTCTAACGAAGGGATTATACCCGTAGCCGATGATGTTGACAAAATTTACCCACATAGTACAGGTATAAGGTTTATTTTTATCCTTTTTAGTTGAAAAATCATACCTAACAGACTTGGGCACAACCGATTCTAATGTATCAACATCTTGACTTCTAGGAGTCCATACTACTCCCTCCGAACGTATGATACTTGAGACCGATGGTGATAGCACATATGATACTCCAGGTATATATCTACCTCCATATATATGTTCAGCTACATATTTTGTTATACATGTCAAACACCATCACAGGAGATGTTGCAGGCCCGATGGAGGGGCCAAATGGTGACGACTCTAACGAAGGGGTTATACCTGGAGTCAACGATGTTCACAAGAATTACCCAAGTAGTCCAGGTATTAAGGCTGTGCATATATACTGATATTGCTTTTATGCTTTTTATGTGATAAATCATACCTAACAGACTTGGGCAGAACCGATTCTAAAGGATCAAGCGTGTGACTTGTAGGAGCCCATATTACTCACTCGGACTGGATGATTCTTGAACAGGCCGATTGTGAAAGGACACGTGTTCATCAACCTTCCCATCTGATTTCGGGTAAGTATTATGTTGCCGAAAGGTTAAGACCATGTGCCTACAACTTTGCCTTATTTGGGTCCAATATATATTTATGTTAACATGATGCAGACAACCCTCCAACCTCATTCCTATATAATGTAGATTCGTTGCCAGCTCTCAGTAATCTGACAAAATAACTAGGTAGCATGCAACGTGACAGTTGGGAAGAGAGGTCGCATAATGTTCCACGCCATCCTCACAGTGATATCACTAATGCAGATCATGCAGACAGCCCTCCAATCTCATTCCTATATAATGTAGATTCGTTGCCAGCTCTCAGTAATCTGACAAAATAACTAGGTAGCATGCAACGTGACAGTTGGGAAGAGAGGTCGCATAATGTTCCACGCCATCCTCACAGTGATATCACTAATGCAGATCAACCACCCTCTGTGGACCTTGACGAAAAAAGAGAGTTGATAAAAACTCAGAGGCGAACTGCTTATAGAAAGAAACAAGAGGAGGCTACAGTCAAGCAACAAGATGAAAATCTGTCTGCCCTTACGATATCAGGTAAGAATGCTTTATGGGAAGGCACTGCGATGATATTATATATACTCCCTCCATTCCACAACATAATGTGATTATCATTTCACATGCAGATATGCTGAATGTGGGTGGGTTACCTCTCGGTGATATCACTAATGTGTGTCAACAAACCACGGTGGACCTTGACGAGAAAAAAGAGCAAAAAAAGGCTCGGAGGAGAGCTGCTTATCGAAAGAAAAAAGAGGAGGAATCCAGCAAGCAACAAGATGAAAATCTGACTGGCCTTACGATATCAGGTAAGGATGATTATGTTTATGATGACCGTATGTATACTTTCTTAGTGAATAATGTAGGCGACACATGTTTCCTCACCCCAACCCCACGAATAATTGACCAAGAATATAGAATAAAAATAATTGACCAACACAATTCCTGATCATTTAGGTTCAATTTGATATAGGGCAGACATACGACTTTTGAGTACATATAGACTTTATGTATGGACACGGAGGGATTCTATAAAAAATAAACCTAGATTAAGAAGTAGCTTCAACCAGCCCTGTTACCTCTCGGTGAACAATGAAGACCCTAAACCCTCCGGGCAGATATGCAAAATGTTCCCCTGTTACCTCTTGATGATACCACCCCAACTACATCCAGCAATACATCATTGTTTAACCAGACCGTGCAGATATATAAAGTAAGCGTTTGTGTAGTACATGAAATCTTCTTGAACAATGAAGACCCTAAACCCTCCGTGCAGATATGCAAAATGTTCCCCTGTTACCTCTCGGTGATATCACTAATGGGTGTCAACCATTCTCGGTGGACCTTGACGAGAAAAAAGAGCAAATAAAGGCTCGGAGGAGAGCTGCTTATCGAAAGAAAAAAGAGGAGGCAGCCAACAAGCAACTAGATGAAAAACAGCCTGATAAAGAACACAATTGTGACTTAACAGACAGGCAAATTGAGCAGAGAAACGCGCGGAGGCGAGCAAGTTATCGGAAAAAAGTGGGTGACGAAACGATCGATCTTCAAGAAAAAAAAATCAGAAGTTGCAAGAATGGCGCGTGCAACACCCTAAAACCATGACTGAGGATGAAAGGGGGGAGTCAAGTGCAAAGAGAAAGGCAAAGTATGCTGCAAAGAAAAACACGCCGTGTGCTGAATCGATCGCAATGCCACGTCCAGATTTAACTAGCACATTGTCCAACCCTCACACACATTGTCCGACTCTCGCACTTTCAGCCCTCACGCAACAATTCGACAGTGAACAAATAGATCATGCTCCTACGGTCAATGTGGCCCCCACATACATTCGCAACACCGAAACCGATGGTACATATCCTATCAACCATCATCTTTCATCATGTAATCGTTCATGATATATAAATAATGATTCGATGATGTTGTAGGTGCATATCTAAGCAGAACCTTCGGTGATGGTGCTATACATGGCAACCTCATCGAAATCAATGTGCACCTACAAAATGCCGACCAGCAAGCCAGTGATCCGGTAACAATAGCGGATAATGGAGTGGACGAGCAGAGTCATGAGTCCAGAGCAGCGCGTGGGAGGAGAGAGCGAGCTTGCAAGGGAGGTATGGCGGCAAAGAAGCGTCAGCAGAAAATTGGCAAGCAAAAAACATGTACGCAGGTACCGCGTGGTGAGAGGAATGCTCTACGCGATCGGCGTAATGAAAGGTTTGCAGGTAGGGTGATGACCCCAACTGTCAGGTCCATCTCCATACCGGAAATGAGCTCAACTGGACAACCTACCGTAGTGGAAGCACACGGTGCCTCGACCTCATCTAGCACGCCGGAGTACACGATCAGAAGTGAAGGTAACACTCCCATCCTTACTCTCCTTGCGTCCCTTGAGACTAAACCCTCATTTATTGGTTTCGCACCTGAGCAGACGACATGGACGCTTACCTTAGTCGTCTCATGAATGATAATGTCAACCCTGATAGCCTCTTTGACGATGAGTATTACCTGTTTGCTGGTGAAGGTATGTACACCCACTTGAGCAGCTCGCCCGTTTGA